ATCTCCTGACCTCGTGATCTGCCCAACTCGGTCTCCCAAAGTGCTGGGATTACAGGCAGGAGCCACCATGCCCGGCCGGAATAGATGTTTTTAAAGAAGAAAAGACACTGTAAGGAACTGCAATTCCCTGAAGAATTTTTTTGTAAGGTAACCCCCTTCCTTCCTGCTTCCTCCAACCTAAATTCGTCCAACAGCAGACTCTGACTCTAGGCTAACGTACTAGGGAAATACCCACAGTACCACCTTTTGCCTCTCCTGGCTTTGCCACCAAAGGGCTGGGCACACCAAGCTTGCAGAACTGAATTAAATCAGAGAACCATCTTGCCGCTTACATGAGTTTCCCAGGTAGCAAAGTTTTAAGCCCCTCAAGCTTCTCTTAAGACGCCTTTGGCTGGACACAGTAGCTCACACCTGTAATCTCAGTAGTTTGGGAGGCCGAGGCGGGTGGATCACTTGAGGCCAGGAGTTTGAGACCAACCTGGCCAACATGGTGAGATGCCATCTCTACTAAAAATACAAAAATTAGCCTAGCCTGGTGGCACACGCCTGTAATCCCAGCTACCAAGGAGGCTGAGGCAGGAGAATCACTTGAACCCGGGAGGCGGAGGCTGCAGTGAGCAGAGATGGCACCACTGTACTCCAGCCTGGGTGACAGAACGAGACTATGTCTCCAAAAAAAAATGTTTGTGATGAAGTGCTCATTAAAATGAATAATGCATTCTTCACATAATACGCTAACCTCAATTTAACTTCTACTGGATGGTTTGGGGTCACCAGGCTCACTTATCATGTCACTGTCCAAAAGCACAGGGATGCCCATGGTGTGGCGTGTGGCATTGGAGGTCCCCACGCCCAGGGGCTCAGGCCTCGATGCCGTGCTTGTGCTCAGTGTCATTTCTGTGTCCTCCCTAGCTGTCAGTGGTCACCTCTTGCTGCTCATCACTCCATAGTCTCTACCACAACTTCAAATCTGCTATGAACCGAAAAACCTGTTAGAACTGTGTGCAAAGCAAGAATAAACAGGACCTGACTGAAAACTCTTGAAGCTCTCCTTTAAACAGGGTGCATGGGAGTGGGCTCACCCAGCCTGGAGCTCAGGGAAGATTTTCCCGTCCTTCTAGGTTCCAGCTGTGCCCTACAAAGTCAGAGCTGCCCTCCTAGAAGCTCAGAGAGCAGCGGCGCCCGACACGCACGTGGTGATGAGGAGCTAAGTCCCGGGGCGGGGCGCGGTGCTGAACACACGGAAAGCGGCTGCTCTGGGGCTCCACCATGAAGCCCAGCAGCGCTCAGCAAAGCCAAAGCCGCGGGAGAGGCTTTTGAAAGTTCCGTGAAATCCTGTGGCTCCAAACATGTTCCCCTCAGCTTCAATCTCCTTCACTTAGGAAAACAGAGCTCTCAAGGGAGCCTTTGCAAGAAACAAACCGGGGCTAGTGCTGAGCACGCATTTTCACAGTTACAGCAAGGACCGGGAGAGAGAGTTTTCAAAGCAAAATGGAACCCAGGGGCCCTTCACCTGGAGACTCACTGTGAAATCGGCTCTGATTCCAAATACCTTGTTTTCACCCAGTTATGCCTTAGGAGGAAAGGTCGTGGCTCTTTCTCTCTATCCAATTAAAACACTCTTTTGCTTTTTTTTTTTTTTGAGATGGAGTCTCACTCTGTCGCCCAGGCTGGAGTGCAGTGGCACTATCTCGGCTCAGTGCAACCTCAGCCTCCCAGGCTCAAGCAATTCTCCTGCCTCAGCCTCCCGAGTAGATGGGATTACAGGCGCCCAACACCACGCCTGGCTAATTTTTGTATTTTTAGCAGAGAGGGGGTTTCACCATGTTGTCCAGGCTGGTCTGGAACTCCTGACTGTAGGTGATCCACCCGCCTTGGCCTCCCAAAGTGCTGGGATTACAGGCATGAGCGACTGAGCCCAGCCTTCCAAGAAAAGGTTTTTAACACCAGAGTATAACAGTACTTGCTTTACATTCAACAGTTTGGACTGCACATCTGTTTGGTGTGCATAAACACATACATTATTATTACATTTATTAGGCCACATCTGTTAGGGGCATGTGCATACATTTATTTATAGAAAAAAGATGGAAAATCTACAGATCAAATGCTATTTGGTGGTTATCTCCAAGTGTGCAATCATGCAATAAAGAAATGATTTCTTCTTTATATTTTTGTTTTCCAAGTTTTTTTTTCTTGAGCATGCGTGATGCTTACAGTTGGATAATAAATTATTTTTAAAAATTTTTCTGAGGCTGGGCGTGGTGGCTCTTGCCCGTGATCCCAACACTTTGGGAGGCCGAGGCTGGAGAATCGCCTGAGCTCAGGAGTTCAAGAGCAGCCTGGGCAATATAACGAGAGCTCATCTCTACAAAAAAAATACAAAAATTAGCTGGGAATGGTGGCGCACACCTGTGGTCCCAGCTACTTGGGAGGCTGAGGTGGGAGGATCACTTGAGCCTGGGAGGCCAAGGTTGCAGTGAGCCGTGTTCATGCCACTGTGCTCCAACCTGGGCAACAGAGGGACATCTTGTCTCAAAAATAAATAAATAAATAAATAAATAAAATTCTTTGTCATTAAAAAAAGAAAAAAAAAAAAAATCAGCCTCTGTCCCCTGTGTTTCTTCCTTTCTGTGCTGGCTAAGCCTCCCGCTGAATGAGTCGAAGGGGCATGCCTAGTCATAAGGTCCAGCTCCATTCTGAGCTGTTGGGCAGGCGAGCCAGATCTCAGAGCCTGCAGTGCTACCACATGGAGTCAGAACTCTCCCATTCCTCATCCTACCTTGGCTCCCGCAGTCCTGGGAAGTCGGATGACCTGCATTCACAAAGCCTTTCCAATCCCTCCGCTCCAGGGGCCTCTCCGAGCTTTGAGAGACATCAAGAGGCTGCCCAGGAGCCTGGCAGAGCAACACAGACCACGGGGGTCACAGGGGAGCATGGTCTTTGAAGGCAGATGGACTAGAAGGAATCTGGCTTCCAGCACTTTCTGCTCCCTGCATGACTTAATGGTAACAAACCACTTAATCTCCCTGAACCTTGCTTTTCTCATCAGCAAAATGAGAATAATACTCCTCACTGGAGATAAAATGAGACAGTACACACCAAGTGTGGCATCAGGCTCAAATGGGCAATCCTAAATGGTAGTTAGGGCCAGGCGTGGTGGCTCACGCCTGTAATCCCAGCACTTTGGGAGGCCGAGGCGGGTGGATCACTTGAGGCCAGGAGTTCGGGACCAGCCTAGTCAACACGGTGAAACCCCATCCCTACTAAAAATACAAAAAATTAGCCGGGCGTGGTGGTATAGGCCTATAATCCCAGCTGGTAGGGAGGCTGAGGCAGGAGAATCGCTTGAACTCAGGAGGCGGATGTGGCAGTGAGCTGAGATGGAGTCACTGCACTCCAGCCTGGGCCACAGAGTGAGACTTCATCTCAAAAAAAAAAAAAAA